TTCGCACAGGTCGCCAACCAGCTGCTGTAGGCGCCGATACTCCAGCAGCATCCAACAACCACGACTCGGTCTCCGAAACCAGCGTCGTGGAAGTCGTCGCGCCACTTCCAAGAAGTCCGCAAGACAACTGGAGCTGAACTGCCGTCGCGATCAAACAAGAAAGCAAGCCTGCCGGGAATGACAGCTCGAAGCTCGATGCCGACAAGCCTGTTGTTCTAGTTCGATGCCGTCCAGCTCAAGATAGCAGTCGCAACCTCACAGTCGAGATGGTCGGGAAGCGTTGGTTCACGGACTTCCTTACAACCCACCAGGTCGAAGACCGTGGTCTGAGCGGACTCGACATCGAGACCAAAATTGGAGGTCGCTCCGCGCTCATTTCCAAGCTAGTGGCTTTCATGAAAGACACTGTATACAAGACCCGTATCCCTTCTGTCACGAAACGTCGAACTGGTCTCCAGCATTTCATGCGCATGGGAGTTCAACTTTGGAGTCTCACCATTGACGAACAGCGCAAGGTGCTCTCCCAGGAGGACGCCACGTGCTACGCCGCCTCGGACAGTGACTATGAATGGAAAGACCCTGAGCAGCCATTCATTGAAGTTGACGACGACAGTGACGAAGAGGAGGAGCAGGACGAGGACGAGAACGAGACTTAAGCGAGGACGAGGTTGATCTACGAAAATACAAGAGATGGAGCCACTACCACTACATTGCATGTTTGTGTTTGTTTAGAGTTTGACATCGTTGTGCAGCAAAGAGGACTACGGTACAAAATTTGCTACCCCGTTCGGTTCAAGAGGGAGTGCGAGAGGAGTCAAAACCAGCTGGTGGTTGGCATTCACGAGGTGAACCTCCGGGGACTCGCTAGAACGAGGTAGACGTAGAATTCCCTTTTAATTTTTAGCTTATTCTTTTGTGTCATCCCATGTCTACATCGTACTGCACATCGGCCTCCGTTCGCAAAGACGCCGACTCCATATTGCGCTTCGGCTTGATTTGCGATGAAATGGGCGGTGGCGTGTGCTTGGTGGACTGGCAACCCATTTCGTCGCCAACAAGAGTACTAGTACTGGTGTTTCGTCCACCCTCTTCGACGCAGTCTTCTGCTGATGAATTTATAGACGTTAGAGCTGTCGTGGCCATTGTTCTCGATGTGGAGGCGTCGGCTTCTTTGTTACCAGTACATGTACCGGTATTTATGGTGCCTCTGCGTCGCATGATGCGACGGACGAATGACAGACTGTTCAGAATCTTCGTCGGCTCCCAGATGAGACCGACTTTGCGAGTTTGTGAGCAGCGAGGGTTGGAGAGTGGAGAGAAAATGGGGAAGGGCAACCAGCGTGGCTGGCCGGAGGTCACTACTGGATTGTTGCTGCTTGAACTCGGAGTACGTATTGGGAATAATGAAATTCTGGACTTTCCGCCTGAAGCACCAATTTTTGGTGCTGAAGGCAGGCAGAAGAAGGGACTGTTTCAAGATTTGCTGGGCACTCGGCACCGCGGTGCACTCTCAAGGAATGCAACGTCCAAGGCAAGCAGGGGCCAAGCTCTGCGATTAGGGGCGAGAACGAGACCTTTTGGCTTGAAGCTCTGTATGTGATGCAATCCTCTGTGATTTCAAATCAAGCGTGCAACAGTCATCCGATAGATATATGTATGTCAAAGACGGGGGCTTTCATCTTGATCGCAGGGGATGCCTCCTGCCCATCCATTCCAGCGCCCTTATCGAGACTGGAAAGCCTTCTGTCCAATGAAACCCACAATCTAGAATATATGAATTAACTAAACTCTATCATTATGATGAAGAAACTCTCTAGCTACTTGGAACAGCGAGAACATTGGAGCAAGCTTACAGCTGGAGGACGGAAGAAAGCTGGAGTATTCAGAAGGCATGTGGATGGTGTGATTGGAGTTGGAGTCAGGAATACGGTTCTTGGTTGGGGGAGTTGTGGACTTCTCCTCTTGCTCTAGGATGGTTGGCTGTGGGACAAAAAACGTTTTCGAGCTGTTGCCCTGGAGGCTGCCTTTGGTAGAGGAGCTAGACCACTCCCAAAACAAATGCATCACTGCAGATGGGACATGTGTTCTGGAAGCTGAGCCACCTGTCCATGCAGACCTTGTGGCATTGGTGCCCACAGTTGTTGGAAGTATATACTGGCTGGCCACATTGATACATCTCATTGCAAATGGGACAGCATGTTCCATCCTTGTCCTTGATAGCACCATCCATAGAGACAGCACCATCCATAGAGACAGTGCAAGCAGATTCTTCCTTTTGTTCACTCAGTGCGATATCTTGTAGTTGCATCTCAAGATCATCAACATCAACAATGGCAGCAGATGATCTAGAAGGACCCAAGAAGTAAGAGGAGCTAGAATCAGAATCGAAAATGGAATAGTGCGAAGCTTCAGAAGGATCGGCTGTCTTCTCTGTTCTGTCATCCTGAGAGGAATGTGGGGACCAAGGTTTGCATTCCAGGTTGCTCTTCAAGTTTTCAAGAGATTCTTCTTTCTTGGCTGCAGGGGACAGGCAGAAAAGGGGATCATGGTGAGTGCTGGTACAACAAAGTGTACCTGGTACAGCAAATCGACAATGTCAACGTACCTGCTTCCTGCTTTGTTGCAACCTGCTCTTGCTTTTTGGAGCAGCACAGAGCGAATGTTGCGATCAATGCAGCTACAAGAAGCACCAAAGCAAAAACTCCAAGGAAGAACTCCCAGCCAAACTTGATAGAGGGCATATTTTCCTCATCAGGATCATGGAAGTGGGCAATCAATGGGGATCCTTCGAAGTTATCCTGTGTGGGGGCCATCTTTTCTGAGTTTAGGTATTGCTGGGGTTTATGAAGCCTTTTGATTCTAGCACCTTTTGAAATTGTGAGCTCGAATTGGTTTCTTCTTTCCTCCGACATTAAAGCTTCTTTTCGATTGCTCCAGTTGATCCTGGGTTGTCGAGTTTCAGCGTGGAGCCTGTATAGGTTGGTACCGCCGTAAGTACCGGAAGGTATCGTACCAGCTCCCTTGTGGGTTCCGACCTGGGTTTGTGGGTTTGTGTCGGACTCTCCCTCGAGACACTGTGACTGACGAGCTCCCCATGCCGGGGTTCAAGTGGAAGAGTTATCGTTAAATCATGGTTGGACGCCCCAGACAAAAATAAATGGCTCTAGCTAGCTAGCAAAGCCGTGAAATTGCTTTTCTCGCAACCGAGAGGATCTATTTCGATCTCTTCCACTGCCATGCTTGGCTTTTCGTCGCCTAGCTAGAGCAAAAGAAGTCCAGTGGTGTGGTGGGGCTCTTGCTTGCTACTAGTACCGGTACTGGGCAAGCTATCCTAGTAGCTAGGACTACCGATACGAACGAATTGTTGCCACCTGCGGAACAATCAAAAGCAAAAAGAGCATTGGATTTGAAACATACGGTATGGTACTGTCCAGATCTGCCTTTGCTTCCTTGCCAACGGAGAAGTAAGCAGCATTGCCTTCGTCTGAAGTTGGCGTCCCTTGCCCCGTCCATGCGGGCGCTACCACCGATAGCTTGATCCTCCTGATCACTACAGTTGCCGGCTTTGCTTTATTTGTCCACATTGATTCAGAACGCTAAAAAACAACCAACGTCCTATTGCTTATTGTGCTTGAAGCATCTCAATGTCGCCACCTAGCTAAAGCCTTTCGAGCCCCCACACCAAATAATTCATCCACAAAACCCTGCAAAAGGAGCTGCTGGCTAGCTGCAGCTCGAGCGTTGATGAGTACGGCAGCCGAAAGTCCGAACAGCAGAATAGAACAAAGCAGCGGTCCTGGCTTTTTGGAGCTAAACAGGTCATTGGTCTCTGTGGTTCCCCTCGAACTCGGCCGTCTCTGTCCAAGTGACAATGTTTGTTCGTCTCTGGGGGCTGGAGCAGATCATCATCATCTCCCCAGCAGATACGGGTTGCTTTTACCACTGAAGCAACGGGCGGACTTTTAAGGTCGGCACGTCAACACTGGTTTATCGACAACGAATGAATCCCATGAAAAGAAGGGAGAAAAGGTGGCGTTGGCCACGGCAGTACCCAAAGTAGTACCGGTACACCACAACGAACACCAACACAAGAACTTGCGACCGACATCGGTCCTGGCAAATTGGGTTGGCGTCTCCAGTTGTAGCCTGAACCCGTTCAAAATAATGTCATTGGGACGACCACCATTGACAAGCTAATAATACCAGCCAGTTCAACGAAACCAAGCAAGCAAGCAACCAAGCAAGCAACCAACCAACGAACCGTTTGAAGAGTTTGACTTGTAAATTATACGAGCCCATTGCGTCGGCCTCGAGTTGAATCATCATTTCCAAGACCAGCCATGCTCTGTTTGTCTATGATTTCGCCTTTGTTCCCCAAACTTTGGGGTAGCACCCTACCATGCATGGTTGCTTGCTTCAGTTGCCGAGTGCCTTAACCTTGTATCCTCGCTTGAATGCCGAGCTTGTACGTATCCCCTTGGAAGAACCTGGCTACTACTAGCTATTAGCCTCCGATCCGGCCGCATGAAGCAACCTGGTCGGTTCAGTTGCTGGCTGAAACGCGCCTCATCCTGAGGCATTTAGTCAAGAAACTTGCTTTTGGGACCTTCGCTCTGACTTGACGACTATATACAGGTACCTGGCTACCTTGACGACTACGTATCTAGCTAACTTGACGAATAGATGTTAGCTGGGTTCTTACTACAAGGTCAGCAGCGAGACTAGAGTTGACTGGCTGGTACCAGAGATACTAGACTACTGTCATCCGAAAACAAAGAGACCGCAGCAAGGTTTTCGTATCTGTCATCAACACTACTTAGCCTGCTGTGTCGCAATGGCTGCAACCGTGACTGGTAACAAAACGTTTAGCTTTCGCATTCGCCACCTCGCCAACAATCCTCGTACCGGAGTCGTCAATTGGTCCGCTCGGAATGTATCGTCGTCCTGTTTACGACTTCTCTACTAGCTAGCTACAGCTAGTACCGGTACGTGTTCGGAAGCAGACAGTGTCACGGTGGCGACTGCGTCAGTGACTGACTTTGTTAGGAGTAACTCTTCTTCCAGTACCAGTGGCTCGGATCGGCTTGCCTTGTTGTGGGCTGCCTATTTAAAATAGCTATTAATAGTTGGTCCTCCATTGGATTTGACGTTGTTCGTGGCGCAGCAGGGTGGCGTAGATCCATGGACCCACGGGTGGACAACAACCTCGGAAGCTACAGTACCTGCCAAATAGGTAGTCTGCCTGTTCTCTAATCTACTAGCTAGCAACTCTTGCAGGGGTATACTGTATCAAAAATGCGTGTGCTAAATAAGAGCTAATATAGTCTACAAAAGAGGGCTTATACCCGTGGGTATTCTAAGGATGGAGAGAGGGAGGGAGCGAGCGAGCGAGCGGCTTGAGGACGTTCATGCCTTTTTATTTTGGAAGGCTCGGAATGGGGAAGGATCATACGGTAGTATGCAGTACATATGGTTGATTGCAGGTGGGACAAGTGTTTTGAACATCCAACCATCGATCAAGGCAGACCTTGTGAAATTGATGTCCACATTGAGGATTGTTACTGTCGTAGACGGGTTGACCAAATTCAAACGGCTCGTTGCAGAGTCGGCAACATGCTGCCGTTTCGTCGTCGTCAGTAGGACCGTCCATGGTGAGACAATCGTGCGTGTGTCGTCGATGATCCACAATCACCGCTTCTTCCATGTCGTCACAATCGGTCGACGAGTTGTCGTCGGTCGAGCAGCCGCCATTCTCGGAACCGGCTTCGGACATGAAGGCCGTCTTGTCACCCCAAGCATCGGCATCGTTGGACCACGGACGACAGGAAATGCTGGAGCGAAAGGCTTGTGATTTCTCTTCCTTCTTGACGGCTTCCTTTTTGGACTTTGTCCTCTCTTGATTCCGAGAGCAGTAAAAGATCATGGCGACCAGCCCCAATGCGACAAAGACAGCCGTCACATAGACAGCTACCAAGAGTGGCAGACCGTGCTTGATGGAAGGCATGTCGGCTTCTCCATCGTCTCTCACGTGCACCAAGAGATTGGATCCAGCGGCTTCGTCATCGTCGAATTTGCTCTGATCGATATCCTCCAATCCAATCAAGTGCTTGTTGCTGTCCACCAAATAGTCACCGATTCCGTCCAAGTCGGCAAAGTTTCCAATGTTGATGGTCATCTTCTCTTTTTATTGATGGGGCGTTAGACGAAGAGGCGAGGCAGAGATGCTTTCCTGAGATTCTTTTTTTGGAAAAATCAATCCACAATTAATTGTGAGGAAGTTGTTGGTATCAATAGATAACGAACGTAAGCAAACACAGAGGCTGCTCAGCCACTCTTCTCTCTCAGCAGTAATCACAAGTAAGTGAGTGAGCGAAGGAAACCCGAAATTGTAGCCGTGCTATTACTGTATTGGTACGATACCTCCGTCTCTGATGGTTGACACAGACAGATTGACCAGATCGAATGCTTTTTTCTCAAGACCGACAGCGCAAAAAGATGGCGACATCAGCTTTCATTCTCTACAAGTGCGTACGGTACCATACGTACCGGTAGCCTACTACTGTACCGTACTGTTGGAGTATACGGGACCACATGATGTCACATACAACCTATGCCTATTTTTGTGGTAAGATGACGCCTATTTATGACCTTCAAAGTTTCAAATTCCATTGACTATCACGCTTTGTGTAGGTTAATCGTAAACAAATTTTCAATTCCAGAAGCTTACTTATGTATATGACGGGTTTGGCTTTCACAGGTTATATATCTGCGTCGATTTGGTTCATCGGGACAAACATTCAAAGAACCTGTTCTGCAACAGGCGAAAATCATAAATCACGGGTGCCCAGAAACATTTTCCAATGACCATCCACAGGCATCCGTTCGGGGGGCTTTTCACTCTTTTTCTTCGAGTAGCATGGTGGAGATATCATAGAGCTGGGGTTTTTAAAAGGGTTGAAAGACAACAGGGCTGAAGAAGCACAGTCTGAAGGCACAACGCGAGGGCGGTCAAGCAAACTTTGAAGGCTATCTATCAGCTTGTCTGGATGGACAACCTTCAGCTCATTGAGGCTGCTCGGGGGGTAGATTCTCGGGGGATAGATTCTCGTCAAGCATCTGTGACACACGCTCATACCAAAGACTATCATCACGAACGCAGAGTACATCACCAAGATATTGTCAAACATATCTACTTGAGTGCTGCAGCCTTTGGGAAAGCAAGATGTGTTCAGCGGAATGAAAATGACCCCTGAAAACAAAGGAGCTGCTGGGGAACAACACGCATTCGAGCGCTACAAGCAACCTTGAAACAAGTGGTGGCAAAGTCCTGGTTGACGGGGAAAAGTCCAAACAATCTCCGAGATCTGTGGAACCACAGAATCATATCCCGAGTTCAAAGCTCGCCTTTTTCCCGAGTTGAGGCGAGGTGTTTCTAGGTTTCAATGCCCGCATTGCATTTGACTCATCATCATGGCAAAATTCCACATGGTGATCTGCCCTGATTGCCATACGGATTGGTCAAAAACACGGGTCAGGACCCAAGTGGTAAAAGGTCTGGTTGGATTCCCAATATTGCCACCAATGCGCAATATGAGACAGCTGAGAGCAATGACGGGGGGCATGGTCCGATGACGACGACTGGGAGAATGAGTGAGTTTATTTCTTCAAAGTTAATGTCGTTTTCTCCCCTTTATCACCTAACTGCCCCCTTTCCTCTTTTGGCAGCAATCTTGCAAGCCGCTTTGGTACATCTTGCTGGCTTTTTGCAAAGCTCGATTTGGTACTGTTGATGAGCGCGACTCCCATGAGAGAGTGTGTGTTTCTACAAGCTACATGAGAAGAATGGCACCCGACCCTTCACAAAAACTGTACGCGGCACAGGTCTTGCTGGATAACTTTCCTACTTGCAAATAAATCTGTTGCCACTGATGTCAAGCCCCGCGGCGGCGATCGCAGTGGTGACCGAGACCAAGGTGGACAGCGACGATGATGTGGAATTACTTGATGTCAACCCCGCGGCGGCGATCACTGTGGCTCCTAAAACCAAAGTGGACGTGGACAGTGACGATGATGTGGAAGTAGTTGGTGTCAAGCCCGCCGTTGGTGTCGCCACCTTGCTTTGGCAGCTAAGACCGCTAGTTCTGGCACTCCTGGCAAGAAAGTGGTCGTCCTCTTTCAAGGTTACGATCATCCCAGCGACTCGGAAAGATTCAAATGTCAAGATCACGACATGCAAGCCTGCAAATCCAAACTGTGTCGGTCCAACCAATGAAACATGTTCCAAACCAATGCGGTAGCCAAAATGCTAGGCTTAGTTGTTAGAAATACATGTACGAGATGGCTAAATGCTTCGCTGCCACTGCTATCATGGTCCTGCATTTGCGGAGGCTAGTTCGCCCCAATGTCCGGAGGCAATTCAATCTTTCAGAATCACGTTTGTCACTTCTTTGAATGTGTGTTGTCACAACCAGCGTTTCCCCATTCCGCCGTCCGACGTGGTTGCTTCTATCGGAACGTCCCTCGGGGCTATGATGCCATCTGCAGATTGTTTCGTTTCTTGGCGCCCAGGGGTACCAGTATAGTGAAGCCGGCTTCATTCTCGAGCTCGGTCTGATTGTTGTCGTGTTAAGCAACTAGCTGATGTCACCGCCAAAAGTCCAGCTAGTCGGCAACTTTTGCATGTTTTCCCCTGGTCTCCCTTCTATTGCTTGCTATGCTACGTCTCCCAGTGCAGTAACAACACACATGAAGTCTGGGCGGATTCGGTTTCGGTTCGGATCAATCAACCAAAGGCGGAAAGAAGAGAAGCAATCACAATAATAAGGTGAGCTGGAAGTTGATCAAACCATGAATGAACCATTCAATCCATCCATGTAATTTTGTATTGTACCCACCTATGAGCTGAATGGAATGAAAGCGAAACATCAATAGTCCAAGACAAGACAAGGGAACAAAGGTGTTGAGTAAGCCCGCAAGGTACTACCATTTGCCATGCACTCGGGCAAGTGTTCACTGAAACCTAGCTCACCTGGTGCAAATCGGTATTCATGGCATCGGCATAGTTGACCATTGCGGCTGCGAATTCCTCTTTATCCAGCGCTTGATCGCCATCTACATCTTGTGCCATTAACGCCTTGACAATTTCCTCTACCTCTGCTTCATCCGCCGACGAATTGGCCGCCGCTTGATACCGCCTCAGCCCCGCGAATAGTTCTTCAAAATCAATCGTTCCATCACCATTGGCATCCCATAAATCAAACAATCGCACCGTGCGGCCATAGGAGAGTGCATCCATGACTTTCTTTTGTTCCTTTTCGGCTCGTTCGGCATCCCGAGCCTGCCTGTATTCTTCGTCGGCGATCGTGAGCGCTTTGAGGACATGGGCATCCATTTGATCGGCTCCCTCGGCCGTCATGGCCAGAGTGAGATCATCTGCCACTTCGTCAAACGTCGTATGCGCTGCGGCCGCAATGGCCAATATCAGTTTGGCAAACTGTTCGTACACGAGTACCCGTTTGTCGTCTTTATCCATCATGAGTAGTAATCCAGTTGTCGCTTTAGCGGATTCTTCCATGCTCTTTGTCAAGTGATACAATCCACAAGCGACTTCTTTAAAGCTGACAGCGGAATCTCCATCCCGATCAAACAATACAAAGAGCGACATCATTCGTGGATCACTGAGGGCATCCAGTAACTGTCCTCGTTCTCGTACTTCATCTTTGAGTTGATTGACATCTATGGCTTCCACATCATCCTCGGCGCTTTGACTAAATAGGATTTGATACACGAGAAACTCACAAAACTCGTCAATGGTAGCATGCAGTTCCGAGACCATGCGTTCGACAAAATGGCGGAATTCTTCTCGATCCAGTTCGGCATCTCCATCCTCATCGTAAATGGCAATCATTTCGATACTCTTTTGAATAGCATCGCCAAACGACAGTCCATCATTTCTCTTGCGCAGTCCATCGGCCAATTCCTTGGCATCAATCGTCCCCGAATGATCTTTATCCAACAGCGTATACAAGAGATCCATTTTTTCTTCCATATTCATACTGGCCAATTCGGAGACCATCTTCAGTTGTGCTTGAATGGCGGCCAATTGCAATTCGAGGTTCTTTTTGGTTTCATTGACAAACTGGGAGACGGTATTACTATTTTGTGCCTTCTTTTTGCGACTGCTGGCGGCCTTCATGGTGGCTTCGGTCTTGCGTGCTGCTTGGGACGCCTTGCTGCTGTTGGTTCTTGAGCGACGTGCCTTTTCCATGCCTTCCTTTAATGTCTTGTCGTCGGGACAGTGCTTGAGACCCATCTTGTAGGCGTTGACTTCGTCCGTGTACTTTTTGAGTGCATGCAATGCCATGGCCTTGCGAGCGTATCCCTTGGCGTAGGTTTTGCTGAGGACGATGCATTTCTCGGCGTCTTTCAAGGCGTCTTCCTTTTGACCCAGTTTCAGGTAGGCACTGCTACGGTTGGAGAAGACCACACATTGGGTAGAATCATGTTTCAGGGATTTCGTATAGTAGTTGATGGACTTTTTCCAGTCACCGGCTTTAAAGGCTGCGTTGCCCTTGTTGCGGTTCTACAGAAAAAAGCACACAAAAGCACAGTATCGAGGAGAGATAGAGGAGAGATGAGATGATTATTATATTGCGATTGAGAAAGAAAGATGAGGGTATCAGGATCGGAACATCCCATGCTTCTAACTAGCTAGCATACCGGTACGTACATCTTTGGCTTGTTGCTCAGGAGACGGCATGACTTCAGGTCTGGTAGGTGGAGACAAGAGAAGAGATATCTTTGAGTAGAGTTGAAAGATAGCTTTGCTTTTTCGGACAAACAAGAGAGAGTGATCGGGAAGCCTACAACCTAGCCAGGATGTTGTGCGGCCTCCACGACGACATCACCGACGAGAATCAATCAGGCGAAGGAGCAAAAAGTTCGAACCAAGCCACCAATTGAGCCCCGTTCGTCACTCATAGGGCTGAAAATAAGGAATGACGCATCATTAAGGACTCGCCTCTTCAGCGGTGTCAATAATGTTCATTCTTACCGGATCTTTCGCAGCGGAACGATCGGTACCGGTACTCGTGTACCATCGGTTACATAAGAGAGCAAGCAAGTCACGCCGTTTCTTTTAATAAGGCGGTCCTGGATGCAACAATTTATTTAGTTAGCCGTGGAACGCGTCTCCTTGAAGAGTGAATCAGAGTCCAGAGGAGAACTCTTGGTAAAGAGTTAACAACATCCATACAAAGTGATACCGGTACGTAAGATGACCCAGTCATTGCAAATAGCACGCCCCAGGGGTGCAGATCCGGAAACAACTGTTGAATTCTTACATTTCACCAGTGCCAAGGTATGTCCTGCATATCGCGTGCTTTCTGCAGTCTGTACCATGGGACACACCGGTACCACAGGTAGAAGGAGTAGTCGTACTGTATGTACTCTGAGTAGTACTCGAGTAGTTGAGAAGGCTCCACCCAATCGACTCACTCAGGTCGTTGCAGCTTTCCAGGAGCAAGATATCGATTGATACCGTTCCCAGAGGAATGTTTGTTTGCTTGGTGCTTTGAGCGTCCTGTGAATTGTTCCGCTTTCGTCTTCTGATCAGAGTGCTTAGCCATCCTACATTCAGCAACATTCTCGTCCTCGTTTTCATTGTCCCTTTCCTTGTCCATTTGACGTTAGAAGAAGAACGCGAATCCAAAGTCTTGTTGGGAAGGCTCAGGTAGAGCGACAGGGCATATAAACAAGTTAGTGATCTTTTGCTTGTTGCTTCCCTGGATGCTCTTGCCAGCCATTGCCGCCTTGCCAAGCCAGTAAGGACTGTTGTCGTTGTCCTGCTACACAATACAGTGTACAACCTCTCGATCAATACGGTAGAGCTCCTGTTGGAGACAACCGCCTGGTGCCAAACTACCAACCGGTGGCAAATGGGGTTGGGAAGCAAAAACTTACGACCCGGTACCGGTACCCCTTGAAGTCCAACGGAACGGTATCAGACTGCACCCCTCCTCGTCATTGCTTTGCAGTATGACTGTGGTATTTTTCAATCTTCAGCTATCTTCAATGTTTCGTGCAGGAATCATCGAATCTGATCGCGCTTGTGTCGATTGTTGCGGAAACTCGTTCTACAAAATAAATATGACTAGACTGCTCGAGTAGAAAGCTTCTACGACTGTACTATCAAATTTCAGTTGAAGGTGGTTTGGCTTGACAGAAAGCTTCCTCTCCCATTTAAGTCTTTCATCTGCTACCGGTACTCCAGTGCCAATAGACATCTTGGGTATTTAATAAATCGCGCAGAAGAATTCTCCAGGGGTCTCCGATGAGCCCGTGATGCGTTTCCGGCTGGGCACTTTATTCGGCTTATTACTGCCGGTACTACTAGTACTACAAGTACGGTACGTACGGCACATACATAGTCGCCAGATATGGCATGGGATTTGCTTTCTCAAAATTTTGGATTTCAACACACAAAGCGGGAGCAGAAAAACAACAACAATCACAATCCACAACCAAGAGCCACCTTCTCTGTCCCCCGTGAGCATCCTTATTAGCGATCCACCAGTTTTTCTTGTAGATCAGGAGCTTATAGACTACCATATCAGAAAGAAGAGATATCTTTTCCTTCATTATCATCACAATTGAAACGACGACAACAACAACAACATCATGCCTAGTTCTGAAGATTTCGATATGGTCGTAGACAAGTACGGCGGGCTCGAGTATAACTCTCCCGAAACGCAGAGACTGAGGGAAGAAGGGGATGATTTATTTGTCCATGTCCACAACTCGGGGGATAGCGACAGGCCATCTGTAAAACACGGACAAAAGCTCATGGCAGGTGTCTTCCTCGCCATTCCTGTTCTTGCAGCAGTCTTTGTCTTTCTCATGATGCGCTGCAATAAAAGGCAAGAAGCGAGCAAGCGAAACAGAAGACAAGGTATGTACAATGATAATGGATGACATGGTTGGGTATATCAGGTATCTATCATCAGATATGGTTTGCCTCACCAGGTCCTTTGTCTACCTACCTCCTAACTTTTGCAGCCAAGAAAGACAACGAGATTACCAAACTCCAGACCAAACTGGAAGCCAAGCCATGGAAGTCAGGAACAGACAACCGTACGTCTACAATGACAACTCGAACCGTCTCAATTGGAGCAGAGTCTACTTTGGATGATAACTCTTCTTATGGAATGGGAGATTCCGGCAGTGACAGTTACCCCGGTTTTATGGGGATGGGAGTTGACGGTGTCGCTGGACTACCGCCGCCAGTACCAGGCAAGTGTTCCTTTGGACATGGCAAGGATGGATCCGTCTGTATCCTCTGTAACGAGGTCTTTGAGGATGAACAAACCTTTGTCGAATCCAACAATCCGCAATGCGCCCACATCTTCCACAAAACATGCATTGACAAGTGGCTGGGGATCCAGAATACATGCCCCATTTGCAATCAACCATACGTCTTGCAAACAGTTTAGTTCCTATACTCTCACTTACTTCACAACACAAACTCCGCAACTTTTCATGCTTCCCTCCTGGTACTTCTAGCTAGCCATGCCTGTACATCCATACTTAACCTACATTTGTTGCCCCGTTGACCTACTGGCTAGCTAGCGATGAAACATCATCTTGGAATCTTTTCGAGAACCCGCAATAGCCAGCTAGCAGCCCAAGCCTTCTCAGTGATCTCCTGAGTGCGGGTATTAGGTTCGCCTATTGTTGGCGCTTTCCTGCCCGGGCATGGTATTCTGCATGCAAGCATGTATGTGGTTCTCGTCTCCGAGCGAAGCCAATAGATCTCTCTCCTTCGTTCTACTAGCTAGCTAGCTAGCTCGCTTGTAGCTACTATCCAGAAGCTCGAGAGCCTAAAGATGAAAGCTGTCAGAGAATCACGAGCGACCTTCCTCATCAGGGTTACACACGAAAAAGTCTCTTTTCGGAAAGCTAGCATTCTTGAGACATTCGAGAATTAGAGAATTATATGCAATAATTTAAATAATGAGACATTGTGAGACATTGTTAGAATTCGTGAGACATGAGACATAAATATGAGACATTATGAGACATTGTGAGACATTTATTGACTTAAAGATGAGACAGACACTTTCTTGTGATGACACCAATCCTTCCCGTGGGAATGTGGGAACCCCCTCGAGTCTTCCGCACTCACAATATCGCTGAAAAGGATGCCAAACAAAAACATTTGTTCCCCATTATATTCATTCTTTTGAGCCAATTGTCGTTGCCTGATTGAGAAGGGCTAGCTAGAGAAGGGAACATGGAAGTGGAAAGTGAGCTTGATCCATACTCTTTAACTTATAGGGAACTGCAGCATGAATGCAAAGCCAGGAATTTACCAGCAAACTTAAGAGCTGAATTAATGAGAAAAAATTTGGCGGATTATCTGAAAAATCCCCGGAAGACATTGGAACGGATTGGAAAGGAGAAGAGAGAAAAGGATAGGCAGAAAAACAAGTCTGGTAAGGTCAAATGGGTTACCCATCCAGCTAAGGAGATCTTTGATGAGGATGTGGAACCTGGTGGCTGGCTCTACGATCAGGATGACTTAGATGCGAGACTCGTTTGGAAAACATACAAATCCAAGCAAGAAGAGTTTGAGGATGTTTCCTTTGAGCAGTTTGAACCAATCTACATCAAAGCTATGCAACGAGCTGCCAAACGGCGTTCTAGATCTAAACAAGAAGAGGAGTGGATGAAACATGATCGACGGCTGCATCCACGCCAAACTCACAATCACAGAGGTGAGCCAGTCTTTGACATGGATGTTGCAGCAAAAGAGCAGCTTCGAGAAGATGTGGAGAAGAAGCTTTACAAAAAGATGAAACCAATGGAGCTTCATGCAATGAGAGAGGTGTATCATAAATACAAGCTGGGCATCTTTCGTCAGCGCATTTACCAGGAGAAGAGGCGACAAAAGTTTAATCGATACTTGGAGAAGAAACGAACGGAAAAGAGAAGGAAGTACGCTGCAAAGTACATGAGATTTGAAAGGAAATAATAGTCTTAGATTAGAATAATTTAACTACTGTAAGGATCTTAGTAAATGGTGCCATCATGGTGTTCAAAGTCGCCATCTTAGTTAGTTTTGGGTCCAGTCGACACGACGGAAACGAGCTTTGCTTCCAAGCTCCCGTTGAACCTTCACGGCTCTGTTGAGCTCTTCTTCAAAAAGCTGCATGGCGCCTAGGGGACCACCAATGCCGCACTGAGCAAACAACTCAGCAAGACGGACCATGGCCTGTTCCATGTCCTCGTACTGCTGCAAGGCAGCTTCTTCAAAGCACCTTGGTGCTTCGAACCTTGGTTTGATGGAGGTTAACTTCACCCGAGTTGCTTTTTCGTGACTGTCCTTCAAGTCCACAACCACATAGCGATACGGACTCTTCGGCTTGGTCCTCTTGGACTTATTCATCCAACCATTGTAGCCAGCATACGTACCCTTGACGAAGCGAATGGCATCTCCTTTTTCAGGCATCACGTCGATAGATTCAATTCGTTGGAGTTTCGAGATTGGCTCTTTATGAGCTTCGAGAATGGCTCTTTGTGAGCTCTCGTTCAAAGTGTCTGCCTTGCGGGACGTCTCAACAAGCACGACATGTCGTGCATTGATGCACTCGTGCGACTGTGACTCTTGCGGTATTGAGCTGAGCTGCTTCGGAGCTCGAGCCGTCGCCAAAATTCGCGATTCGATTCGTCACTGTCAATTGGACCAAAACTTGCACTCATTGCTCAAGGAATCATTCACGGTGAGATTGCACTTGTGTCCAAAATGTTGCTCTCTGCAAATGATGTGGAGGAAATTGGATTAAAGATAATGAGGGTTCGCCTCAGCAGGAAGAACAAAAAGAGGTTGAAGTGGGAATTTCATAAGCATTTTGGACTATCGCCGCTTGATATCGCTGAGTGCTGGTACCAGCTATGTAACTTCGATCATGGCTTGCTGTCAAAGGCAGAGAAGTCAGAAAAGGGCTTCAAGAGATGCCTTGGAGCCATCTACTGGCTATGGGCGAGACCCAAAAATGTTGGCATCTTTGCTTCGCGTTTCGACATGTGTGTGGACTACTGCCAAGGCAAAGAGCTTTGGAAATGGATTGGTCGCATTGCGGGCCTAAGCAAAAAGTATATCGTCTGGGACAAATCTATTGATAGAAATGATACAGAGATCTTTGCACTCTCCGCTGATGGAGTTGATTTCCCAATGTGGGAGATCCAACATGACAAATATCCATATGACAGCAAGGCAATGTCACACAAGTTCAAGAGTTGTGGCGGAAAGTATATCATTGCCCTATCAACATTTCGTTCTCAGTGTGTTTTCATTGCAGGCCCGTTCAAAGGTGGCAAGGGAGATCTTGACTGTTTCAAAGATGGCGGATTAATGAAAAAGTTGAAAAAGAGTGGCAAAATCTGTCACGTCGACCGTGGCTTTCGTTCCAAGTCGGCTCGGGAGAGGGAAAGGTTTGCTTATCCTGATTACATGGATTCGAAGGAGCTCCACAACTTCAAATCCAGAAGTCGCTTGCGCCAGGAAACCTACAACAGGCGCTTGAAGCATTTCCAATGCCTCTCTGAGACGTTCAAGAATGGTTTCGAGAAGCATGGAATTGCTTTGCGAGCAGTTGCCGTGCTTGTCCAAATCCAAATGAACAATGGCTCCCCACTCTATTGCGTTTAAAACTTGTAGTACTAGTAGTGATAATGTGATAATTTTATCTGTATCTCTGCCCCTATTGTTGCGTTTACTGCGTAGAGGTACGATGAAGATAACGAGACTGTCTTGACGGGGTATTTCTCACAGCATGAGTAGACGCGACGGTAGTAATCGGTCTGTTGGTGGAGAAAGGACGACAGAAAGGACGACAGTTGTTGCTCTAATGGGGGAAACTTACGGGAGAAAAATAAAATGAAATAGCCTCCGGCATAGCCCGAAGGCGGCATCAAACACAGCTGTCGTTTTGGTTGGTGTGTCGTTTTGGTTGGTGTGTCAGTAGAGGAAGAAGCGTCGGTAGTGGAAAGTGTATCGGTAGAGGAAGAAGGAGCGTCGAAAGGACAGCCACATTACTTCACCATAATGCTAGCTGTATGTTGTTGCCAAGAGCCTTGCCCCTACCGAAGTAGGCACTGACTTCAAGGCAAAACAAATAGCGCAGCAATCAAGGGAGTTAGTAGCCAGTCGGTAGTAGCAGTCGGCAGTGGTGGTACGCCGATGATAGACGTCATTGGTTGGTGGTGGGTAGCAGGAAGGAGCATTGGTAGAGGAAGGAGGAGTGCCGAGTAGTAGTAGTAGTTGTTGTAGTAGTAGTAGTGTTGTCATTGTTGCGCCGTACTGCTTGGCTATCGAGCCATGTATGTAAGTTTGTTTGTGTTGGTTGTAGCGAACTAACTGACAACATCATCATTGTGATGTTGTCAGAGCCAATCAAGAGATCGGATACTAATGCCTAGGCTGCTGCTGCAACCCATGCCTCCAATTCTGTCCTCTTGGCTTCTTGTCTCTCTCAAGACGATTGTGAGTGTTGTTGAAAGCGAGTGGATGGAAGGGAGTGGATGACGATGGCGCTGTGGAGTGGTTGACGACGGCCGTTCGTGGACAACAACAAGTCGATCGAACGTTGACAAGAGATGAGTGGTTGTGGACTGTCGGCCGTCCAGATGAGTGGTTGTGGACTGTCGACAGCAACGACGGTCGTCGTTTGTGATGTCGACAACAACAGATGAGTGGATGAGTCGAGTCAGTTTGTGTAGGGTGTGGTGGGCGCTTTGTGACTGACTTTTTTGAATCCCGAGGGGTATAAATCGATGACAGCCGCGAGTCGAGTCGAGTCGAGTTGAGTTGAGTCGAGTCTCCCTCATGGTTGGCCGATGGCTACAAGCGAACTAAATAGACTATGATACAGTACGCTGTTTCTAGCTAGTAGTAACAATGGATTAGCTAGCAGAGGTCTCTATTGTCGTCAACTTGTTGTTGTTGTTGTTGTTGTTCTTGTTCTTGTTCTTGTCAGTGAAAGGTCATTTTTTGAGTTCAGAAATGGCGGTGCGTGCCACCACAGCATTTGCAGAAAGCAACATTTTGGACACAAGTGCAATCTCACAGTGAATGGTTTTAATAGCAATATCTTTTACGTTTATAGTATCTTACGCTTACTCTTTCTCATTTATCTCACGGATCAATCAAACGCTACACAATCAAACGCGACGCCAACAAACAACTAGTTAGGTTTCTTGCGAAGAGCAAATCTTCCCTTCTTAGGACCACCGGTCGAACGACGGATCATCTGTCCGCCTCTCTTGGCAATCCTCCAGTAAACGTCCGTGGCCAACAGCTCCAATTCGTCGCCATCCAAATCGACCGTGTCCATCAAATCATTGGCCTCTCTCTTGACGTGCTCAGCATCGCCCGAAAAGATGTGATTCTCCAACTCAGTGCCTCTTGGAAACACAAGCAACCAGTAGGTAAAGTTGCGTTCAGGCGAGTTGCTCATGTTGGTTTCGAGAGTCTCATGCACTCTCTTGGTTTGATCACAGTAGCCAACCTGATGATTGAGTTCGGCGGATCGATGAAAATGGTCTTGGGAGGGTCCACGGATAAGAACAGCACGATGCGCCAATGTGGGAAACTGCTTCAGTGGAATGGTAGCTTCCCACATACCTTCCTGTGACGCTGTCGTTACCTTGCGAATGTGGAAGATATCGCGTGTAAAATTGAGATGTTCGATGCCATTGACCTCTGACACTTCGAATCCCCAGTTGGCTTCGGGCTTTGTGGTATCTACCATCACAACGTTGGGATAGTTGATGGATCCGTCCATCTTGATGCTCTCAAGCTGTTCAATCTGCTGGAGGACCACGGAAAGAGTTGATGATTGAGTTGACTGTGTGGACGAATCCGATACCGTGGTCAAGGGACTCGAAAAAGCGCATTGCCGTCCGAAGGATATCTCGTTTGTTGGTGGATTGGCTGTTCCCACGATTGATTGGGGAGGTGCCATACTAGGTTTCTTGCTGATAGTAGGTCTCTTGCTTTTTGTAGTCCTTTCGTTTCCAGAGCTTTCGCTTTCGCTTTCGCTGTCACTATCACTGTCACTGTCACTGTCACTGTCCTTGTCGCTGTCTTTCGAGCTTTCCGTCTCTGAATCAGAAGTGTCACGAAGCTCACGTCTCAAAGCTTCACCTGGGTTGATCTTTTGCTTGTCCAGCCACTTGAGATATTGCTCGGGGGTCTTTCGAAGGAGTAAATCAAACTTCTTTTGTACCTTTCTTCGCAAGTTCGATCCTTTCTCGCCGTACGTGTTGGTATTTTCGTTACAAAGGTCCACGAGGTTCAGATCTTTGCGCGTTTTTCCAGATCGCTCAATATCTTGGGCCAGGTTCTTCACAACGAAGTCGGCTAGAGGCTCTGAGTTTTTGTGAGTTGACATCTTGGGTTGTTTGTGTGCATTTTTGCACTTCTCGGAGAGCTACGTAGGACTCGTCGGCATCGTGCATGGTCTTGTTTGCTGGGATCAAGTCATGCAAGTCAATACCAATACCGGTACGGTATACGAATCAATCAGCGAGTGCCTCTCGTGCTTTCAGTTCATTTTTTGCGATGGCTTGTGGTGTTGGCGACGAAAACAAACCAAGAGGAACTGCAATCGCGAGGCGACATAGCTTTTTCAATAAATGAGACATGAGACAGAAGGCTTCTCGAAACATGAGACATTTTGAGACATTGTGAGACATGAGACATAAACATGAGACATTGTAGCACAAAATGAGACATTGTGAGACTTAAAGCATTATTTTATATCCATGTCTCACTATTTATTAATCCAAGTCTTGGGGAACTCGGACAAATCCGTGCATAACCCAGCAGCAACCGTGTAGCTCGGAACACGTTTCGAACCGGATCTTCCATCAGCTTACTGGCAGGGTAGCTACCAGGTACCGGTACATACGGACATACCGGTACGGAACCAATAGAACATGAATGAGGCAGAATGAGCGAGTTGACGGGCTCGATCACACTTTGCAAGATGGTACCGGTACCGGTACTTAAAAAGATTCTTGTTGGCTAATGACACAGGATCGTGATGGTAGCGGACCTGGATAGAAGGAAATCCTGTCCGTTGCCACACAAGCACTGTGATCATGTGATGGCTATAGGCTTCCTCTCTTCCTCTTGCTACCTACACGTGCAGTAGTTTGAAGGCTCCAATGTGCAAGTCTACAAGTGGTGGTGCTTCGAATGGTCTCTTTCTCGAGGATGCAGAACAAAACGCTATTTTAATTAGCTAGTGTCACTGTGCCTGAATCGAATCGAATCAAAAAGGTTTGCATGAACAGACCGGTCTCTTTCTCGAGGATGCGGAACAAGACCATAGTGTTCACTAGTCTAGTACCTGAATGATGATTCAAGCCGATCAATCATAAGGATTGAATCAACAGACGAGAGAAGGACCTTGCACTACGTCGCCTTCTGGTACGGTACCGGTCTGATAAGGTTCTGCGATACCGGTATGGAAGAAGTTGTTATGTAATCAGCCAAAACAACAGTAACCAATGACGCTGCTACATTTTAACTGTTACACTACCTCATCACTGCTTTTTGTTTGTTGTCGTTGGCTGGCTTCCTTTCCGGGTGAGTGCATGGAGTTGTCGTGTACCACAATGCTATTCCGTCCAACGACGTTGTCATATTTGCAGATGGCGCAAAACAAAAAGTTTCTCGATTCGAGTCACCACACCAAAATAGTCGATTGTAGTACTGTATGAGTTTCTCTCTACTGGTCCTTCTTGGCTTCCACTGCCTCTGTCTTCTTGGCATTAGTCTCAGAATAAAGGGGAACATCCTGGAATTTTCTGTAGTATTGAATACCATCCGTCAAGCTGTCTACAAAATGGCAGTTTTCGCACAGCTTGTAGAGAGCTGCCATGCAATCCGTGGGACTGTTCATTCAATCGTTCGTGAAAAATGTTAGCACGGAAATATTACGCAAATCATTATCTCACGGTAGATGCTTGCTTGCAGTACTTACTCGTAATTGTAGAGTCCTTTGGGTTCCAAGTACTCACGGATTGCCTTGGTTGCTTCCACCGCATGGTAATGAGGCATTTCGTGGAATAGATGGTGCACCACGTGAGTGGTGACAATATTGTGGCTGGAATAATTCATCCACCCGTAGAGAGGTCGGTCAATAGTTCCCGCCAAAGCTCCCTTCATCCATGTCCAATTTTCCGAATCAAAATGAGGGACAGTAGGATCTGTGTGTTGCAACCAAGTGACCATCACCAAAAAGGCATGAATCCACATGTAGGGTCCAAAATACCAAAACCAGACGGCACGGAAGGAGTATTTCCAGCTAAAGTAAATAAGCGCCGACACTGTCATTCCAATCCCAATGTCGGAAGCAATCACTTTCGCGTACATCTTGGCAGGAAAGAGTCTCGAATGGGGCCGGTAGTGATCCGGGAATTCTCCCTTTTGAATGGGTTTTCGATCCGATCCAATGTGTCCACCGGAAGTTACTCCGGCAAGATAAAGTTGCCATCCCATGAGAAGACGACTCCACATCATGAGCCAGGCAAATCCTTCATCGCCATTGTGTTCGTGAGTGAGAGCATGTCCGTACAATGGATAACTAAAGGCTTCAGATAGTCCACCCTCGGCAGAAAAACTCAATTTGGAATCCACAACGTCTTTGGACAAACGTTCGTACTTGGGTTCCTTAGTATTGTTGTTGTCGCCTTCTTTGGATGTTTTGACCAGACCGACATCCTCCCACGTAGGTGGCACGTGGGTCTCTCCGTCCATCAAGTCGTTGGTGCGTCGGTGGTGTTTGGCATGCGAAAACGCCCAGCTAAAATAAGGCACAAGCATGATGGAATGAATGGTCCACCCCACGGCGCCATTCACCACGGGGTAATCGGAGAAGGCTCCATGTCCGCATTCATGACCCAGCACCCAGAGTCCTCCCATAGCCGATGTCATGGCAAAGCCGTAGAAATTCCACGCCAATCTCCATGCCCACCATTGCCATGTCCAGATAGGACCGGGAGGGTCGGTGGAAAGTCCCAACACGCAGTGGGTCAAGTACACGACGCAACAGGCTTGAATCACGTCCCGAATCACATAAAACATGCTCCAAAAGAGGGATCTCTCAAAGCAATGAGCTGGAATGATCGCCTTTAGTTCGGATTTGGTCGGGAATTGAGCATCAATCTCTTCCTTGGTCATGGAGGAGACGCGGGGATCAATTTTTTCCGGAGTGAACGGAGAGACCCATGGTTTGGCCGAAGTGGTTCCTGCTACCTTGGGAGCTTCCTTGGCAGCAGATTCTCCCGCGGCAGTCTTCTTCAGAGGGCTGCTGCCCTTGCTGTTGTTATGTTGACCTCCTTTTCCCATGGTGAGTTCCACAAGAAAGAAGTGAGTTGAAGCGACGATCCGAGAGAGGTGCTCGGGTGTGTGTTGGCGACGTGAGGGAACCACCGATCTTGCCATTTTCTTAAATACAGGTTTAAACGACGGATTGGATTATGTAAAGCATGGATGTTATATCTTTAATACTTTGAGCGCACATATGATCTCTAAACCTCGAGAGCCAATGCTGCTACAGTTGCTGCTGTTGCTGCTGTCCCTGCAAACCTGCAAACCTGCAAACCTGCCACCACCTTGAACAAACAACATCAAAACAATGCTGGGAACCTCTGACACCTTCTTGGCACACACAGAGGAGCATGGTTCTGGCCAAGGGGCAGAGAACTCTCTGAAAAGCATCAAGCAAGCACACTGCCGGCTTCTCAATTATGCTCTTGAGGAGGGATTCACCTATTCTACATGGAATCATATCCACAACACTTTGATCCCCAAAGATGAGAATGGGTGTAAGATTCATCGGCTTCGTGTGATTCATTTCTATGAGGATTGCAGGACACTAGGGATGATTGGTGCTGACTATGCTGGCTTTCAAGAAGCCAACCTTGATACCAACCAGACAAATGTCAGGAAGAAAATTCATGCCGCCGTTCGAAAGGCGTTTGACCACAAAAAGGTGACCTTTGGCTCTACCCCACAGGTGCACCTGCGAGAATACAAACTAGGTGGTACACTGTCGATGGTGATGAGGAGGTCAGTTGGACGTGTGGTTGAGGCAAAAGCCGATTATCTCGGCAGATGGACGAGGACAGTGCTCGTGCAAGGATGGAAAGAGGCTCTCGGTTTACAATGTCTACTCCGTTTGTGACGTACAGCATCGCATCTACAAAGAGGAACTCATGCGGCGTCCAAAAGAACTAAAACCACCGTGCTACCATACCTTGATGGAAAGCATTGATTTGGGCAGGTGGTGGTGTGACGACAAGGATACCGAATGTCGCGCCTGGAGTCCGACTGCAAGATTGTCGATCCTGTTTTCTATAACCATGGAATTCAGGACTTCAATACTTACTCTAGGGGCAGTCATTGGTGTGTTGCATCACATCACTCAGACCCCGTCTGAGGTATGCCAGTTCGCTATGGCACCGTTCAGTGGAATTGTCTAGTAGTGAGGTGTGGCCTTAAAATAACACTTTTTTTCTTTTCAAGAGGAGCAACATATGTGTCAATTAGAGTACGGAGAACTCCCAATCCATCCGTTACAGTGGAGTGGGTATTTTGCCTAAATTAGCATACCAAGTTTGTTTCTAGAGTGCTAGTGCTTTCACACACCGGTAAGACCCGGCATTTCAAGCGATTCCAAGCTCGACCTGCCTCGTGCTGAGAGGGATCAGATGAAGACTTGTCGTCAACCACAGGGTGGGAAAGATGTTCTTTGTCATTGGAGCAGCTCCGAAACTAAAATACAGACTTGAAGCCAACAGAAGCACATCTGGTCACAGAACTAGACTCATGATGCATGCTAACAGCAGCGCAGGACCAGCTCAAAGCATATGCTTGTTTCATCAATCCCCCAACCGAGAAATCTTGCGTGGTCCATGGTCCTCTTTGAGGTACAAGCCAAACAATTGCCTGATGCGCGGAATTTTTCGTAATTCGCTTTGTTGATTTTAGGAAGGAATGTATTGGAGACCACCACTGTCTCATGCTCCCGTTTCTCCCGTAGCATGGGATCTTCCACCTCTTGAACCTGGAGGTGACCGTGTGCGGACTAGGGTGTCGCCACTTGCTTTAGGTCGTCGTACCTTGCGGTGTCCCCAACCAAGCTCGAATCACCGCCCGAACGTTTCGGTCCTGCGCAGAGACATACTCTGCGGACAGCGCTACTAGAGGCCAAGGCCACCGCCACCGCCACCGCCAACATACCAGAACCCAGCAAACACGGCGCCCATTGCAGGGGTTTTGTCCGTCGAAACATACGCTGTAAAGCTTGACGACGTTGGTCTGCGCCACAAGCTGGTGGTGCAAAACCCCTTCCTCCCCCCTAGCCTCTCGATGAAATCTTGCGTCCCTATTTTCCCAGCTCGGTTGGTATCGTAGAAGATCATATAGGATACGGTGGAATCGAATCGAATCAACTTCCCACTTCTTCCCCTTGCGCCGAAGGATCTGGACGAACATGTGTTCTTTCTGATGTTTGATAAGCTTGCTGATCCTCCGTACCATCCTTGAAAGAGTCATCATCCTCACTATTTGTGGATTTCTGTTCCTGATTCCCCCGTTTTTCTTCCCTCTTTTGCTGCTTTTTGGCCGCAGCTCCAGACAATTCTATATCGGAGGGTAGACGTGGTACCGGTAGTACTTGTGGTGGCGACATTGTTCCAGTAATCATGGAACTCATTCGGAGTCGCGCACTACTCGTCAATAATTCCTCGCTGACAGGGCCCTGTTCTGGGTCGTACTCTACCGTCAGGAGCAAATCTTCGCACAACTCTTCCTGGGACAAAGCAGGTAGAGTGGATTCCTGGTAGATTTCTTCCTCGGTTTTGGGCATTTTTCGCAACAACGTAACGGCAAAGGACAAGCCAACGAGCCAAAACAAGGCCACCAAGACCCAGAATGGCGCCCCTTGCACCAGCACCCTGGATGTATCTCCCGTGACGAGGTAGGATCCCAGAAATTGCAGGGCAAAGCATGCCAAGGAAAAGGTAGATATCCAAATGACGAGAAATACTAGGATCTTGCACCAAAGAAACCCAAACCACATGACCCGTTCAATACCCTTGCCAATGCGGACGAGGATACGCCAAAGAATGCGGAGTGGATTGTTTTCATTCCAAGGGGAAGGTTGCAGCTGATCCAATCCGGCTCGTTGTCTTGATTTTGAAGAAACGCTGCAACACACACCACAACAGGCATCGGTTCGTTTGAAATCCAAATACATGATGAGCAGCACCATGATCATGGTCATGCCGGTTTGAATCAGTGTCAAGATTATGTTAATTTGACCCAACACACCCGGATTGTCCAACAAATCCGAGACTTGCAGAACCGTCAAAAAGGCACCATTTTCCACCAAAAAGACGGCCAGTTGGGTGGTGGCGACCGCGTAGAGTCGTCGCGTCGTCTTGGCTTGAGTCAGGGGCATGTCGAGAAAGAATTTCTGAGCGTTTTGGAAATAGGGTGCCCATCGGAGGTCGCACTTTTGAATGCGACGTTCGCCCAACCAACTAACGAAAAAGGAAAGAATCATACCGACCAGGAGTAACGACGCGGCAAATTTAGTCTCGAGTGTTCCATCGGGTTGTTGATATGTGGCAATGACCACGCCAAAGTCCAACAGAAAGTTGAGGACTTCCAGAAGAAAAAAGACCACACTCGAACGGCCGAGCCATATAAAAAAGGTTTGATACTGGACCAAATCTTCGTCGGAATCCAACTCCCAGTCATCAGGAGGGAGGCAGAAAAAGGCATGCCATGCTACATTCAGGCAGGTGCGGATTGTCATCTCATCATCTTTCGCTCATCGTCCCGTGTGGATCTTTAGTACATGTACTGAATACTCTGTGAAAGGCTGGTCAAATGGCGCAACCATTTTCGCCGTGCATGCCGTCGGCTGTTTCCTCTTTCTTTCGATCTTTCGCGTTGATGACGAAGAGGTCAGAGAAGACAGCTCTGCTGGCGAGAAATACAACGTCACCTTCGTGAATCGAATCAACAATCACCACAACTTTCGGGATCGACCATGGCCACTTCCTGCGTTGGTGCCGTCCCGACAACACTTACTTCATTCATCCACTACAAAGCACTCGGCAATATCATTATAACATGCCACTATCACAAGGTAGTAGTAGCATTCCTCCGTATCGGACGACTGTGCAGAGCACCGATGAAGTGACTCCAGTCGAAGTGGATCCTTTGGAAACGGCCAAATGGACCAACAGCATCCCCGAAGCATTTGGCCTTCGAGAGGCCATCCGAGCATCCAGTTATCGGTGGTGTGCACGGGAAGCTGGAATGTGGGGAATTGCCACTGGAACCGCCATGACCATGTACGTGACAAATAATTCCTTGTAGAGAGGATTGCTGTGATGATTCTCACAGACATGTTTTATTTGTTTTGCCCCCCTTCTTCAGACATCGACTGCGCATGGGATCCAACACCCGTTTTGCCGTCAACGTTGGCATGTTGGCATTCATGACTGTAACGGGAGGATCCTATTATTTTTGCTGTCGTCGTAGAGACCATCGAGAGAGGGTAGTGGAAGCCATGATGAAGTTGAATGCGTTTGAACATGCCTCCCAAATGCCATCCGAAACTCCACTGGAGCAACATCCCTTTGCCAAACCTGGATCGGCACTGCCGGATCAAGAATTCAGAGGTCTGCTCAAAGAAAACAAGGAGTGGCAACCACGAGAAGTCAACAAGGACATGAAGGATGTCTTTACAGAGAAGAGGCCGTGAAATGAATAGATTATGAAGGAGCATTCCACACAGACACCAATTCGCTACTATTGTTCGAGGAATGGGTTCTACGCTTGGGGATCCATTCAAACATTTATTTGTGCACCCTTCAGATATTATGGGTTCCAGGATGGGTTCCACGCAATTAAATAGGCTGTGCTAGCTAGAAGATGACTGCAAATGGAACAAGGCGACTTTGTAAGTGCTGCTGCTGCTACCAAGAGAGTGGTGGAGAGCAACAGCTTATAGAGACGAAGAGTAGTAGCAAACGATGTTGGGTTCAAGTCAGATCCGATTGGTGACGATTTCTTAATTAAATTGACTGACTCTATTCGACGGCGCCGCATCAATTTTGATTGATTCATGAAGGGGACAACTATGACAGATGCTATTCATTCCAAAGGATACCCCCCACTGGTAGTAGTGTTGTTGAGTGACCATGCGGAAGGTTTCCCCAATGGCTTCTTGTCAATACATAGCCAAACAATCCTCGATGCATAAGATTTTTGGCTGTGGAATCAAATCGTCAAGAGATGAAACGGTACATGAGATGTCAAACAAAGAGCCCCTCCTGCTGTGGTGCGAAGGTTCACAACGGATTGATTCGATTCGATTTCTATTTTTCGTTTGCTTTCAGGGCTCTCCTCGGGGGTGCTTACATCCCGTGCATCAGAGAGTGAAAAATGATCAATTCCGTAGACTAATCACCTGCTCTAGCTAGCTCGGCGCCTATATCATACCAGGTACCGGGGGTATTCTGTCTGGTTGTGGCTGGTGGCTCAAAGAGAGGGAGCGTAATAACAAGGTCGCCCATCTACATGTACCGGTAGAGTAGGGAAGAGAGGGAGCGGTCGAGTGACCCGTCCACCCCATTTCAGCAAAGCTCCTGCTGTACTACCTGTAGCTACAGTTGTAGCTAGCCTGAGACCCCCCTGAAAAATATTTCAGCCAAGCTGGCTGAATCTTTTGATGAACACGACTGAGGATCAGAACTTCAGTTTTTTGTGCACATCTTCTGTTGGACACATCACATGGAAAGAACTGGTTTTAAGGACCATGTTGTGATGTGCACAAATCGTGATACCACGGTCATGGGCAAACAAGATAAAAGTATTGTCTGGGAGGTGGCCGAAGAAGAGGGCTCGTCGCCTTCCTATGGTCGGTCTGTGGTACATGTGGAGCAAGAAACCAAGGAGGCTCGGACCAGTTGGGAATTGCTATCAGAAGAAAAGGAAGACGAAGACTTGTTGTTTGTTCACAAGGAAAATTCTATGAGACAGCTGGACAAGATTGTGGATGGTGCTCTTGGATGCTCTCCGCATCGCTTGACCGACACAGAAACCACAGATGGGTATTCTGGGATGCTAGCAGAAGAAAAGGACGAAGAACCGGGGTTGAGCAAGAGCCCCAAAGACGATAAGAGCGTGTTCAGTAGGGAGTGTTCAAATGACTTTACTCACGGTCAAATCACCTTTGAGTATTCACTGCCATCGGTCCCTGAGACCTACCCGCAGATGTTTCCTTACCATGCCTCTGTGGGAGGTGATCATCCATGTGCGCAATCGGCTTCAACCGGTAGCGACATCGCAAGTGGTCCAAGCGACAACGTCAATTCTTTAATGATCCGTTCCGCAGCTAATTCAAGTGCAGCTTTCCGGGCTGAAGTTGACCTACACATTGAGTCCAAAGAACTGAATCAGCGTTCCTTGCAGAAATTAGTGGGACCTCTTGTCGAGCCTCTCATTCCATCGATTAGCATCGATCATAGTGCCAATCTCAACGAAAGCGATGATGTGTCTGCGATTACCTACATACCGGTATATCAACAGGCCCGGAACTGGCCAACTAGAGAAGCCATTGAGGCTTGGCGCTCCAAACAGAGGCACAGCAAAACAAAGTCAACAAGTTTGGGCCACAAGGCAAAAGCGTGCCTCCGTGTTACAAAGCTCACCGACTAGAAACAGAAGGCCGCGCCAAAGTCTTCCGCAGATATCACGCAAATACAGCAAAACGGTTTGGCAACAGACGGTATCGGTGACAATATTTTGGAGAGAATGTTCTAGTTAGTTTAGTTGCTTACTTAATCCAAAGTTTAGTCATGCTTTGTTCAAGAAGCATAGAGAGCTCTGCATCATTGTCGCTGTCGCTGGCCACGGCGCAATCACTGGCCACCGACTGGCTGTCATCGGCAAGGACCTCGGCATTTTGGTCCATGGTTGGCTCCATAGTCACCTTTGCGTCCTTCTTGTTGCTTTGAGTTGCCGCTTCGGCGCACAAGAACGCCTCCAACACGCCACCTTCGATCCATCCTTCTTTCTTGAGCACCTTGACTGCATCGGTCATATTGACGGAGAAATTCTTGAAACATGTGGCCCGGTTGCGTCGACGATCGTGTTTATTGTGCTTGATGATGGCGGTAGAAGCCTTGGCCCTGGTGGCGGCAATTGCTTTCTTTCCGAGCTTTCTTGGATTTGTCATGGCGATGGTGCTTCTAAAGAGGACGAACGAAAGCAAGCAACTCAAGTGGATTGTGCGTGGTTCGTTTCTCTCTGCTTGTGTGCCCACGGTCGGCCCATCAAGGAATTAATAGAACCAACGAGACTATCCTCGTACCCTCGCCGGAAGCTCAACGTTATGCCCTCACGCTGTGTGTTAACGGTCCTTGCCGGTCCAGAGGAGCTTGCCTCTTCCACGCTGACCAATGAACCCTACCGTACTAGTACCAGGTATGGTAAGCCTGCATAAGCTCAATGCTGAATGCTGCAAAAAAGTATCGGGCTTGCGCAATCAAAAGAAATCCCCACGCTCACTTTGGAGATGCTTCCACAGCGTGGTACTTCACCGTGGAAACTGTATCCAGCAGCCACTCCCATGATCCGCACAGTAGCAATCTATCTAGTAGGAGATTTCTGCTGCCTTTCATTCATTTGACCGCAATGAGTTCGACCAATCCTCGCTTGAAAAAGGAGGAATGTCCCCTCCTCCAACACATGGCAAATGGCCAGGGGTCTTAGTTGTGGGTAGATCACAAAGGAGATTTGGGTTGGCCAGGTCCTCCCCTTTCCTGGGATGCGGCACTTTACGCTGGTTGGGGAAGATTCGGGTCCAGAGCGATTCTGCAACCGACAAAGATACTTTCTACACTGCAGCATTCTGCAATGCTTCCTGTGCTGAATATTAGACTAGCTAGAACAACTACTAGTAGGTCTGCTGTAACAAGACGGCAACCCAAAGATTAGTTTGTCGTCAACATTTCGGTCGCAGCCAGTACTTCAATGGGCATACCGTATCTATAGAAAGACCCCTGGGAGGAAGATACTTGCTCCGAAGCAAAAGGTTGGCCGGATACCGGTATTCCTTTGGAGAACGAACTTTCTGTCCATGGGACTTTTTTTCATTTATCTAGCTAGTCGCTTTTAGTTACCGTGAAGTGCTACTGTACGGTACGGCAGTGGTATGATAAAAAGTGGGCTACTCTCGAGATATCAAATCAAAACAGGGTGTGACGGCACCCGCACAGTCTCCAGTCCTCTTATTCGTGCTCTATTAGATTCTGACGCCTACATGGATAGCAAGTCTACCACACCTTCCTCCTTGTTGTCGGGTTGTTGTTGTTGTGGATTGGATTCTGGGAGGTTGCTGCCATTATTATTGATCCCCAGGAGGTCTGTCTGTATCGTTTGTTCTTGCTGTTGTGTAGTAGTCTCTTGCGCAAATGGATCTGATGGTGCTACTGCTTTTGTTGTATCCAATGTCGTAGCAAATGGATCTTGATGGTGTTCTCCCAATGAAATCAAGGGTGCAGTATTTCCACTGTTGGTATTACTATTGGAGGACGCTGTTGTGGACAGATTGGACGGTTGTTTGAGCATGGTTCTGGCGGCGACAAAATGTCGCACAGGTGTCAAATTTTTGGATTGCTTAGATCATTCAAGTATTCATTCCAAAGAATCCGATGATCACTGTCTTGTACGTAGAATCGATGATCAATCAGTGGTATTTGGGTCAGACCGTCCATTTTCATATTCTTGTTTTCCGGATGCAACTCGCAAATCCATTACCCACTCAGTCACGGATCGTTCACAAAATCCGA